GGAGACCATAGGGTGGCATAGTGGTTGCGCATTGGGAATGAGATCTTCAAGGTCTAAAGTTCAAAACTACCCGCTGCTCCACGAGAGAAAGACGGGGTTTTGTACGCCAGCAAAAAGTTACAGTCTCAGAACCCCGTGGGGGCAGTCAGTCTTACTCTGTCCTATAAGGTCATCGACTGGATGGACGTGAGGCTTTGTTTTTTAAGAGTTAAAACACTGTCCTATAAGGTTTGCTGTGAGTGCGAATCCACTGGGAGACCCACCTACACACACACTGCGAATTCAAAGGGGAAGCAGGATGAAGACTAAAGGGAACCAGGAATGGGTTGGGGGTGGGGCTGCTTGTGATGTGGGATGAGAGGGTTGGGTGGGGGTCGCTAGAATGAGGGGAACCCAGAGTGCATGAGGAGGAGGGGCCTGGGGACTGAAATCGTGGAGATGCTACATTTGGAGGGAAGAGCTGGGCAGGAGAGGCCAAGGGGATTCTTCCACTCTGCGTGGCTCTCGGGTCATTTTTGAGATTCAGCTGGGCCTTGCCAGGTCACTCAGGATCCGGGCTGACCCAGGAACAGGTTGAGCTCAGTGGAAGGCAGTCAAGAAAGTCACCTTCTGACGCTGGCCCGGGAACTACACCTCCCAGATGGCACTCTTCCCTCTCTCCTTCGCCCTCCTAAATGGAAGAGGAGGGAAAGGAAAGAATGCTAGTGTCCTAGCCAACTGTTGGGCGCAGTTTTTCTTTAAGGCTGCCTTTGACGTTGCAGTTTCCAGAAGATTCTCCCGGGATTCGGGCGCCGGCCAGTACGTCCCACCTTCTCAACCCAGAGATTGGACTGACAAGAGTTGCCCCAGGCTTGGGTAAGAACCCCAACTGGAGAACCAATAAAATCAAAGGGCGCGTGGAGTGACCGCCCTGCGTCCCTTTCACCAATGACAACACACGATGACGAAGAGGTGTGATTGACTGATCCCAGCGTGCACCAATCAGACCCACACCAATCGCGGGCCAGAATGTGTGCGCGTGTGGCCGGGTGACAGGGGCGGGGTATGGGCGGCTATCCCCGAGCCACTCGTTGGAAGTTGTCCAATCACAGCAGTGCCTGGGCTGAGTGGCGGGCGGATGGTGCAATAGGATGTACAGGGGCGGAGCCGTGGGGGGCGGGTTCCCCGTCCGGCTGTCGGCGGCCGGCGGGCAGGCGACTCCTGTCCCGAGTGGAGGCGGCGGAGCCGGAGCCGGGGGAGGGGGCAGCGGCTGGCTGACGACCGCGGCGGTGCCCGCAACTCCTCACCGGTGAGGACGTCGAGGCAGGACCGCGGGGGCAATCGCGAAGGCAGGGATCCGGGGTGCTGGGGGGTTGGGACATGAAGGGCCCTGGGGTCTCTTTTGCCGGGGGTGGTGCGGGGACCCGGGGTCCACTGAGGGGCTCGATGTCCTCGACCTGGGCTTGGCTCCCAGCGGACGCAACCTGCGTCCAAGCCGGGGGAGGGAAGAGCCGGGTCGGGTTCTGCGGGAGGCTTTCTGAGCCGGCCTAGTTAGCCAACGCCAGTGACATCACCAACCCCCCTCCCCCGCAAAGCCCCCTCCCCGCTCCCGGGTCCCTCCTCTCCTCTCAGTGTCTTTTGTCCCGGCTGAGCCCGGCTCGCCCTCGCCCCGCCCGCCCCGCCCCTTGGCGGAGGCGGAGACTCGTCGTCAGTGACTTCATTGAGTAGGTTCTGGGGATTGGGGTCGGATCCTCCCCTGAGAGGAGCTCTCTGCCTCTCGGGCCCTCACAGAGGATCACACCTGTCACAGGTACACACGCTGCCACTCGCACGCACACGCTCGCACTGCCAGCCTCACTGACACACCGCGCCACACTGTCACTCACAAGCAGCCAGGCACTGCTGCACCTGAAAGCAGGTGGCCGCTGGACCCTGTCCCTTCATTCCACACCTGGGCATCAAGTCGGACTCCTGCCGAACCGACAGGCCTTGCGGGGCAAGTGCCTCCGAGACAGAGGAGGTGGCGTCCAGAGCTGCAGAGGTCCAAGCAGGCTCCCGGGGAGCAGCCAGAGGTGAGGGGCTTGGCTGGGCATGTTTAAGCGCACAGTGCTCTCCTGCCCACCCCCAGCAGCACCCCCACTCCAGGAGACCCGAGGAGCTTTCCGAAGCTTCCCGCACTTCTGGGGAGAAGACTTCTTAGCCAGCTTGATGTTTAAAATTCAGCTGGAGCCCTTAAAACTTCGAGCGTGGACGCTGAATGGGTTTGTAAAGTTTCGGTAAGTCCCTCTGGAGAAGGGCACTCCTGCCCATCTCAAGTCACATTCTCCCGCCAGCCATCCCTCCACTGCCTGCTGCTGCTTCCAGCTCATCCCTCATCTCTTCTCCATTTCATCCCCATCCCAGGCAAGAATCCACCCTTCATCTTTTCACGCCTCAAACCCTCCAGGCATTCATTTCCCACAAGCATCTCCTCCCGGACTTCTGCCCTGCACCACCTCTCCCTTTACACCTGACCAAACCCGGGGCTTTCATTTCAGCCATTTCCAAAGTGCTCCTCCCCACTCCCACCATCCCCATCAGCACTTTATTTCCCACATCAGCCATGTGCCCTCCCAGTACTATGGCCATTTCACCCCATCTTTCATCCCTTCCTCTACATGATTCACAGCCTTTCATTTTTCTCCATCAAAGGGCTCCGTGTCATTCCAACACATGGCTTGTGGGTAAGGGGAGGAAGGAGGAAGGGAGAAAGGAAAGGGGGGGAGGGATGGGAAAAGACAAGGGGATGGTGCCTGAGAGCTTGTCTTGTGGGTGCAGAGGCCAAAGAATGCTGGGGTCTAGTGAGTCCCAAGAAGGGAGCAAGCTGGCCAGGTGGAGAGGTCATGCCGGGACAAGAGAAGGGGTGGAAGGGAGTGCCCATTGCTGCTATTGTTCTCTGGGGGTACCCTCTTGGGGTGCTAGGTTTTCCTCCCATTCCCAGGGAAAGAATGTGTGGGCTGAGGCATAGATGGCAGACCACCACCACCACACCACTCCCCCGCTCCCTCTCAGACAGCTTTACAGCTGCTTCCGAAAATGGCTGCCCTCCCCCAGATGCTCTTTCTGCCTGCCTCCGCCAACCCCAGCCTCCCCCAGCAGGCGTGACATACTGGCAGGGGGAGATGAGAGTGTACCCAGCTTTATGGAGCTTTCTCTTCGTCAGAGAGAGGTGACTTCTAGAACCATGAGTCAACCCAGCCCCCCTGCAGCAGGCCCTGTGGGGGCAGGAGCTAGGGCCAGTGTCCCTGCCTACCTGGAAGTTTGGAAGCCTTCATGTTACCTAGTTACAGCCCTGCCAGGGCACCCCCATATACCTTGCTCCTGGGAACAGTCAGAGGTAGAGAGATGGGCCTTGGCTGTGGCTGCCAGCCTAGGACATTGCTAGAAAGACTCTGGTCCTCTCAGCTTTGGCAGGAGTTGGACAAACCTCAGAAGGACTAAAGAATGGCTTCTGGCCATTCCCCCAAATAGCTCCAGCTAGAGGAAAGCCCCTCCCCTCAGACCCACCACCAGACTAGAGAGCTGGGAGAACTGGAACCCTATCTCTCCCCCTTACCCATTCTCCTTGCACCTAACCAGAGGGGGGTGGGGGGGCTGGCACTGGCCTGGATGCTGAACCACTGAGGGCTGGTGAGAGGGAGGGACTGGTAGGGACAGTATTTTGGAAATGGTGGTTCATGCCCAATTGTCTCTTAACAGGGTTTAAAGAGGTCTTGTCCCTGGGATCCTGGGATCCTGGGATCCAGCAGCACTGGTGCTTAGGCAACACAGGCATGCCTTCACACACCAGTCTGTGTGGTCATTGGGAGAGGAGTAAAGAGAATGGTTACCCTGGTTAGGGGACAGACAGTGTCACCCTCTGTTAATGAAGGAGTTAGGAGCAGCAGTTTCCAAAGGCTGTGAATCACCCTCTGATCTGAGTCACACGTGAGAGGTGGGGTGGGGGTGGCAGGGCAGGGAAGCCTGGGGTCTCCACTTGCAGAAGGTCTCCAGGCACCCACACCCTGACTCAGCCTGGCTAGCCAGGGCTGCTGGCTAGATCCCCAGGTCTGTCCCCAGTCCTGAGCCACTGCCCCAGCTGCCCTCAGTCCGGGCACCATGCCTGAGCCATGGCATAGGAGACCATGATGCATGAGTGACCTCACCCAGTACACTGATCCTCACCAGCTTCTGCATATGGTCTGTCAGTCCATGGTTGCTGCTTCTCTTAGCAGGGCCTCTAAGGACTGGCCCAAGGACCTCCGCTCAATCCAAGAAGTAGGCCACAAGCTGCAGCTTCCTGCAGGGGAAACCTAGGAGCTGAGGGAAAATCGCAGAATTCTAGCATGGCAGAGCTGGAAGGGGTCATCTAACCCAAACATTTCATCTTCCCAATGGGGGAGAGGGGCCCAGGGAACAGGCAGGACTTGCTGAAGGTCACACAGTGAGTCACTTAGGGATCATAGGATCATCAGGAGCAGGACTGAGGCAGAAGGAACAGGAGCATTAGAGATTGGCCCTGGGTTTCTTGCAGAAACAAGGAGACCAGTGCTGGTCAGGTGGCTGTGATGGGAAAGGATTACTACAAGATTCTTGGAATCCCTTCGGGGGCCAACGAGGATGAGATCAAGAAAGCCTACCGGAAGATGGCCTTGAAGTATCACCCAGACAAGAACAAAGAGCCCAATGCTGAGGAGAAGTTCAAGGAGATTGCAGAGGCCTATGATGTGCTGAGTGACCCTAAGAAACGGGGCCTATATGACCAGTATGGGGAGGAAGGTAAGAGGGCAGTGATCCAGCATGCTGCTGGATCTTTGTCCTTGCCTGGGGCCCTGGGTGAACCAGTTCTCATAGCAAGGAACCGGTAGCTGGGAGGGGGCGGGGGAGGAGAGGTAACCAAAGCACGTGTTCCAGCACTGACACCCAGAAGATAGAAGAGACCACCAACTATTGAGTCTGACCACATTTGTCCCCACCCTCTGCTGCCCCTCCCTCTCCTTCCTCAAGTTCAGGCCTTCAAAAAACCAACACCAAACTCACTACCATCCGGTCGATTACAACTCAGTCTCATAGGGACCCTATCGGACTAGGTAGAAAGCCTCATCTTTGGAGCGGCTAGTGGTTTCCAACTGCAAAACTTGTAGATTGCAGCCTGGCGCATAACCACTGAGCCACCAGGGCTCTAAGTTCAGCCCTTAGAGAGACCTAAAGATTGGAGCCAGAGCTAGAGGCTTTCCCCTTCTTAGTCCTTATTAGTCCTGCCCGAAATCCCTGCTGCTTCATTGGCTGGTGAGGATGGTTGAATAGAAGGGAATGAGAACGCTTGGCTCCCAAAGGATAGGACATTTACATCCATCAGCATAAAAGTTTGGCTCTTACGCAGCCTGGGAATTAACCACTGGAGCTCTGAGCTCCA